AAAAAAAAAAAAACCTTCCTGTAAGGCCAGAGCCTAAGGAAACACCTACACTCTGGAGTATAGGCAAGTGGGGCCACTAGAGACCTAGAAGCTGCTGCTAGTTAGGTAAGAGAATTAGGCTAGTATGCTGTCATGGGATCCCAGGGAGGTGTCATTAGTCAGCATCAGTGTCAGATGATACAGAGAACATAGAATTTGTAAAGGTCCCTGGATTCAGGTGGAAGCTATGCTATAATACTGATTCTGTAGGATTATTTGTGACTTTAGAAGATCACCAAGTTAGGAGAGTGGAAGCTAGACTACAATGGATTAAGGGTTTCATTTTGTGGTGAAAGGAATCAGAAGAAACTGTCAGGAATTAGTCAGGGTACTGGACAGTATGGCTCAAGGGGAAGCACCCTGGAGAACCTGGGTCCATCCACAGCCTAGAGGGGCAGGAAAGAATTACGGACAAATGAAGACAAAGGACAATCAGTCTCCTTGATGGAAACATCAAGGAGAAAAGGCCTAATCACACTTATTGGGAAAATAATTCTTATGGGGAACAAGTAGAAGAGAAAGAGGGGACACATGACACAGCAAGTTTCACAAGTAAAAGGCAATCAAGCACAAATGGAGAGGCTTTCTGGAAAGGAGGTCATATTCTCTGAAATAAAGGGAGGTGGCAATTATTCACTGAGAACAGAGGATGTGAGACGTGGGGGAAAGATACCTGACTAGCTGAGAAACATGCCAGGGAGCCAGCAAGCAATGAGTAAGATGACAGAATAGTGTGACACACTATGAAGGCTTAGGAGAGGAAAAGGTTTTGGTGAAAACTGGGACAAAAAGTATTTGTGGGCTTAACTTTTGTTTTTTGATATCACTAGGTAGCTTTCTATAGTCTAGCATGCATCTAGCACCCACAGTTGTGTTTGTTTGTTGTTTCTCTTTTTGAGACAGAGTTTCACTATGCAGTTCAGGCTGCCCTTGAGCTCACTTTGTAGCCCAGGCTGGTCTTGAACTTGCAGTGGTCCTCCTGCTTCAGCCTCCCCGACTACAGGGATTACAGGAATGTGCGACCATGCCCAGCTGCACCTGAAGCTTTCTGAATAAGGATGAAGTCCAGTGTTTTCAGTCTCCCTCTAGTGGACCCCTACTCTGGTAATTCTGTGGTAATTCCCCCGCAACCTCTTAAAAATGGGTAACCACAGTGACCATTTTGGCTCTATGCTTTTCCTCTGGCAGAAAGTTAAGTATACATTCACCTACAAGCATCAACAGCTTCCATCAAACAAAGAGCTGTCACAGAGCAGAAGAACCTGCTAGTCTGGGCCAGCTGGAAGATTACATGAGGGAGGGACACAAAGGGAAAGGTAGTAGTCTCTGAGCCCAAAAAAAAAAAAAAGTAAACTCAGTTCTGAACCCTGTAACTGTCCCAATCATGTTTTCTAGAAAAATAGCCCAAAGAGTCCCTTTACTTCTTTCACAGGATTTCCATGATCCCATTCAGACTCTTAACTTGATGAAACTCATGTTCATAAACATTCCCATCTTTTCTGGAGTTCAGACACCAAGATTGGTATCTGAGGCAGAAAGTTTTCAATTTACCTCAATGAGCAAAATATTTAGGTAAAAAAATTTATTTAATCAGAAAGGATTTATCTTCCCAACATTAATACACACATTAAAAGTAAAAAAATGCATACATCTATTTACACAAATGGAAAATCACAGTGGCAGTCACATGGCCTGGGTCAGGGGCTGAGGAGATGGGCAGCTGGAGCGACTGGAGGAGAGCATCTCATCTGCTGCTCCAGGTGTCCCATGCTCATCTCTCTGGCCATGGTGGGTGGATCAGGAGGGGACAGCTTGCAGCTCCAGTCTGATGGCAGAGCTATAGGCAAACTGTGGCAGCGAGGCCCTTCTTCAGACAGTTTCATAGGATCACCAAGGATGAAAGAAGATGCTGTAGCAGGTGGGACTGGAGTGGTTGGGGCAGAGTGGGTAAAGGCCTGTTCACCATGCTGGAGGAAAAGGATGAGGCCAATGCTGGTGCCAGTGCCTAGAGGATCCTGGCTGAAGGAGATGGTGCCCGGGGAGCCAAGAGGAGGGTTGCAAATTGGAGCGGTGTGGATCCAGGTGAGGTTCATGGCTGGCCACTCTGGGACATGCCAAGGCTGCTTTGGTTTCAAAGCTAAATGTCCTAGCTTTTTCTGGCCCATTTTTCCCATAGGAGGTGCAGGACAAGAAGCAGCTGAATCACTGTGATGGTTTTGGAAATGCTGGGGAGTGGGGATAAGACAAAAAAAAAATCTAAGAAGAAAGCTTTCTGATTACCTCCTCCTTGTTTATACCTTCGCTTTCCTTGGAGACTCAGTTTGCACTGCACTTACCTTGTTTTGTGCAATAGGTAATACCTTTTTTCTTTTCTTGCAACAGATAATTTCTTGTCAGGTCATAACTAAGTAACATTTTTAGTAATCCAGTTATGCTTTCACTTGTTCAACAAATAGGTGAGGACCTTCCATTTCCTACACACTTTATTAAACACTGGATACTCAGAAATGAGCAGAATAGGGGGTCGGGGAGATAGCTCAGTAGAATAAGCACTTGTGGGCCAGCCAAATAGCTCAGCAGATTAAAGCGCCTGCAAGCAGGCACAGGGGCTGAGGGTTCAATCCCTGGGCCTGCAGTGCCAGCCTGGCCCCCAGGGTGTGCTGAGCTGGCAATTGAGACTGGGCGTGGTGGCGTGCACCTGTAATCCCAGCTCTTGGGAGTCTGTAAACAGGCAGATCACTAGGAGTCTGATCCAGTAGTGAGACCCTGAACCCCTGTAGACCCTTCCCTAAAAAATACAAATAAATAAATAAAGCACTTGCCAGCAAGCACAGGGCCTGAGTTCAATCCCTGGTTCCGCCAAATAAAAAAAAAAAAGAAATGAGCAGAATAAAGCAATCCTGGGGCTGGCGAGATGGCTCAGTGGTCTAAAGCACCTACATGGAACAAGCTTGGCAAAGCACAGGGACCACATGCCAG